AGATGATGTTTTACAATGCCATAACTGCCAGCATTTCATCCATTTCTTCGCAGAATGTAAACTCTTGCCGAAGGGTGTAAAGTGTGCTGGCGGCCATAAATCTTCACAATGTGAGAGTAACTGGATAAAAAATCTTAAATGTTGTAATTGTGATTTGGGTCACGCAACCAGTTTTAAGCACTGCCTCAAAAACCCTATGAATCTCAAAAATAAAGCTTCTCAAAAATCTTAATTGCACCACGTGACAAGCGGGGATAAGAAAATTAATTCTATATCCTACATTCTTAGAAAAGAACTGTACAAAATTCTCAAAAGCCAGATGGAAAATCTAGCAACAAAATTCCTGATGATAGAAATGCTAAGAAACCTAAACTAAATTTTTTAAAATTCACAGTATTACAGAACAAGCTTGAAGAATGTGTCCATGGACAACCGAAAAATTCGGAAAATAGCTTAGGGACTTTAACTGATTTTTTAAAATAACCACAGAGGTATAACGTTCGCGCAATATCTGTTAGAATGTCAGAGATCAAGTACTCTCTGACTCCCATTGATAAGATGTTCGTACTGCTCTTTATCTTCGAGGAAATTTTTAGCACAAATGCATTCGTGCATTCTAATATAATTTCTAGTTTCTCCATTTGTAGTTCTGCATTATTTTAGACTTTTAGTATAATTTTCGATTCAGCATTTCTGAGTATTTTGGTGTGTTTGATATCTTTAACTCTTCGACTGTGTATTTCTTTAAATGTAGATTATTAATGTGCCTTTGAAGTTTCGTACCAATTAAATTTCCTGTAACTTTTTATGTATGTTACACCAGCTCGAAAGTCTGCCTTTTTTTTACGGAGGATTTTAAATGCACTGCGATGGGATTATAACATTTTCGTAAATTTATGCATCTTAAAATTTTTCTAACATCACTTATTGCTGACAACCGTGGACATGTTACTTTTCGATGCGAGTTGGATCTCCGAATCCGAGCACCCTGGTGATGCACCACTATTATACCACATAGAAAATTCATCGGATGATTATTGGAACAAAGTTTTTTTCTTTGTGGGTAGTAATCCGTAAAGAAAGATTTTGCTGCAAAGGCTTTACTCCTTGAAGGCATTATTATCAGCCATTCAGCACTCGCCGATTTTTGTCAGTACTTACTGTCTGTACTTACTTTTGTCAGTTTTCCTCAGATACTGGCAACAGTGATAATTTGATGATTTGCGTAGTATTGCATAGTTTGTACATTGTATTAATTAAGCACATTATATTAATTAATATATAAGTTTTCTGCAGATTTTATTGCTCATCCAACTTTATCTGCAGAATTTATAAAGAGTGTAGAATACTACCAAGTTTATAGAATATTAGTAGCATCTGCGGATAAAAATCGGCCTATAAAATCTGCAGAAAAAGTTGTTTGATAGATTTTACTATTTTACAAAGAAATGGCCTTCTTTGTCTGCAAAGTTTATCTGCCGACTTTATCTGAAAATATTGTGTTTCAGCATTATCGGCAGATATTATCGGGCCAACTTCATTTACAGACTTTATTGGTCGATTTTGTTAGCAAATATTGTGGGCGAACATCTTCAAATTCTTTCGACCTCAAAATTTATCTGCAGGTTTTTCGACCAAATTTATCTGCATGTTTTAGCAGAAATTGTCGGCCGAATTCGTCCTGAAAGTATTTCGGCCAACTTTACCTGCAGATTTTATCGGCTCATCCTCACCTAAACTGCGGATTTGTTAGGCGACTTTATCTCCAGATTTTATCGGCCGACTTTCGTCCAACGAAAGAATCTGAAGTTATCTGAAGGTACTTCCGGCTAAATTTATCTGCGGGTTTTAGCAAAATGTGTAGTCGCATTTGACGTTGTTGCCCGAATTTGTCTGCAAAGTTCATCGGCCGCCGAATTTATCTGCAGCTATTGTCTGATAGATGATATTATTAGAAGATTTTATAGTACATTATCCGCCGATTTCATAGGCCGACTTATCTCGAGATTTTTGTCGGAAAAGCTACGATTATATCATTGGAGTAGCGAGAATAACTGAAGCCCTGGGCAAAATACCTTTTTGGCGCCACTCCCCGAAAACTATACAGTGATATGATGAAAATCGTTTTTGGAGACCATTTGGCGCCTTTATGCGAGCGGCGCCCGGGGCATCATACACCTCTTGCTCCCCCTCGCTACGCCACTGGATTATATAGGGGTCTAGTCTGGACACCGGTCGAGATCGATATCGGAAAACCAGTCGGGATTCTCTTTCCACTCGACAGGAGAAGGGAGAGCGAGTCTGGCCCCTTCAAATTCCCTCGGCGGAAAATGAAGTGGAAATTCCGTGCGGAAGTGACATTTATTGCATAGCAACCAGTCTATCTCACCACTACATTGCTCGAAGCTCAGGGGAAGGGGGTAGTTTGTTGTCAAAGGGGCTGTTTCGCAAGTGTTTATTACTGAGGATGGTGGTAGAAAAAAGCAACGAGTTCCAGTAAATGGTGAAATTTTCCAAAAAAATCCGCTGCTGTTAAGCTGCTGGATAGCACATTTAGTAAAAAGAGTATGGAAAAAAGAAATGGTGAACGTTAATGGATATTTTAAGCGCAGAAAGAAAATGGCCTTTTCAATACTTCACGTATGTTAAGAAACGTAAACATAATTTTACTTATGATCTTTTGCAAAATGGAAATTTTCTAAAAAACTACATGTTTGTAAACTGTTTGTTAACAGAAATTTTATGATTAAAATACTTTATTTTGTCTGAAAAGGTTATGCAACAACGTCATAAATCAAATTATTGAAATAAGCATCGCGTAGGTGTGTTTAATATTCTTAATGAAAACAATAATTTTTGAATTATTCAATACTAATTTAAAAAAATTTAATTTTTAGAAACCCATGATTATATCAATAATTTTATTATTCAGGGATTATACTTATCACGTAGCTACAGATATACTATGTATCGTAGATAGTAATAACCAGAAAACTTTGGTTTGATGCATTAAAAGACGATTTACTAGTGAGTAAAAATTATAACCAAATTTTTAACAAAAGTAATAGGAATGAAAATAAAAAGAATTAAATAACTAAATTTCATTGACTAAAAATTGTCATATTGCACACATATGCAAACATATTATGCTCCTATATAGTGTATCTAAATATGCCTCTTCACAACTTTGCAGTACATATTCCTATTTTATGTCCTTTTTAAGTCGATCCCACTAGTGGCCGAGCGGTAAAATCTACGAATATTGTAGTGCGGTCCAAGGTTCGAATCCCGCGAATGGGCTAGACGCATGGGCGTCATTACCAACATATCATTGGTAACTTCCAGAAGCATAGAAGTTTAAGGCACACAAAATCTGTTTTAAATATATATATATAAAACTGTATTATAAATATATTAACAGATGCAGTAAAAGAAATTGCAGTACATGTTCCTATTTATACCCTTTTTAAATCGATCCCACCAGCGGCCGAGCGGTAAAACCGCTGAACACTGGAAGTTCCGTCCAAGGTTGGAATCCCGCGAACGGGCTGGCTGCATGGACGTTTTCATGGTTTTCTCCATGTGTTACGTGTATACGAGCTAGTTTCCCTTAGAATGTCCTCCACGAAGGCAACCCTCACTTAAGGCAGATAGCCCTCGTGGCTTTGCCGTTATTTCATAAAACCCAAATCAAGCACTTTTTAGATCTGAATAAAAATACAGAAAACTGATGTAATATCTAAAAGTAGACCAAATTAAAAAATCTGATAACTAATTATAAATCATGCATTAACATTGATATCGGTACAGTTAAAACTACTTAAATAATTTTTTTAACTCAAAGCAATTTAATGTAAATGTTGAATTTAGGACGTGCATATTTTGAATTATATACTGTATATTCTTTAATGCATGTCTGATGTATTACATTTTTATACACTATAAATTAAAATAAAAGTAGAGGGAAATACATTATAATTTAAAACATAAAATTTCAAAATTTACAAATTACTCATCAAAACATGAAATTAAGTACATTGAGATATACATTAGTTCAAAAATTACAATTTTAAATTAAAAGTATGCACTCCTTCTTTATATGTGAAATAGGAAAACACCAAATATATTATTTTCACTAAAATTTAATTAAGGCATTGGTAAAGTAGAATAAATAAATAATGTAGAATCGTCAGCATCAAATGCGTTATTTCTATTGCGAAATACTCTAGTTTTTCACAAATCTTAACAAATTAAAATATCTACTACGTACACTTCCAAAAACAATCCGTGACCTCCGCCGTCCTCAGTTTAGCTCTAAAACGACAGTCAGAAACATAAACGGTAGCTGTCCATCTGACGGAAAAATTTCCGACGCGTCGATCTCTGTAATGATCGAGACGATAACACCAGAGTCGCTCTCTGTCGAGTAGATCGCAAAAAACGACCCGTTCTTCTATCTCGACGGTGTCCAGACTAGGGCCCATACTTTCGGCTAGTCTGCAGCGGCTAAGTATTGACATCAAAGGTGTACTCCTCAGTAGCCAACAATTTTATTGCCCGGCATTATCTGCAAATTTCATCGGCGGATTTTATCTGCAGGTATTGTCAGGCAAATCTATCTGCAGCATCTTTCTAGAAAATTTATCTGCAAGTGTCAGCCAAAATTTTCACCCGAAATGGGCTGCAAAGGCAACACCCTCCTAGAGTAGTAGAGTCGATGTTGGCAAAAGTCGATTTTATCGCTGCCGATCAAAGTCGTCTAGATATCTACTATCTAGCTGGCCCTGGGCCGATCTATATCTGACTTTATTACCTGCTAATATTCTAAGCCAGATCTACTGCAGCTTCTTTTGGCCGAATTTATCTGTAACTTTGATCTTACACAGCCGAATTTATGTGCAAGTTTGGTCGAAATTATCTGCAAATTTGTGGAATGTAATAGGTCAGCCTACTGAGATTTATTTTAGAAATTGGGTGTTTAATAGTGGCAACAGCGGCCATTACTTTGTTTACATATTTGCCACTGAAGTTCGAAGATGGGTTCCGAGCAAAGTAGTCATTCTTCTAGGTCTCAAAGTATAATTAAATCAGGAACTACTAAACTAAAAGAACATCAGCGAGCAAGAAGCTCGTCTCCTCGACCTTCCATAAGTTCTGATTCAGATATTCCATATATCTCTTATACTGTAAACAGACCTATTGGAGGTACTCTATCTTTAGATCTTTTGCATTAGCAGATGTGATTTTCTTTTTTCTTATTGTGTTGTAGCGTTAAGATTAAAACCAGCGAAATTGATTTTCTTAAAATATTTCACAAAATGGTGATAAAAGGTATGTATGCTGAGTAAAACAAGAAAAGGTAATTTAAAAAATAATTGAAGCGGGTAAATTTTAAAAATAATTCCAAAAACTATGAATCTGTATAAATTCTCTGTCTTCATTGTTTATTATAATAGTTTCCCAACTTCTTTATACTTATTGTTCCCTTTCATTGTTCTGCTCCCCTTAGTGCTCCCTTTGAATTTGTTTAGTAACCCACTACCAATAGAACAGTGGCATTTTAGATACGTGATAAATGTGATTTAGAAGCAGTGGTTTAATAAGTATTAAAGTTATCAGCTACCTATTGCACTTGCACTGTATAGGTAGCTGATAAGTAATGATGAAAACTCATCATGTGTTAATGAATTAATTATTAATGAAAACTTATCCTGTTAATTTGGAAAATGATTGCTTATTGTTAAAGACTCTGAAAGCATTTGTAGTTATGAACCTTCTAGAACCTGTGCAAATTTCACACCGTGCACAAAATGCCTTATAATAATAGAAACTTTTTATGCTGGTAGATATGTGGAATCTGAAAGGACAGATTTATATATGTAATGTTAATTTTTCACATTCTCTTGGAATTAAAAAATTAATCTACACATAAAGAATATATTATATGAATTAAAAAAGGAACCATTGTCGGTGAAATGTTAGTTGACCTGGTTTGGTGTGATACTTATGTAAATGTAGAGAGTGTTTACACAGTCTTCAAAAGATTTCAATGAAGAATTAAAAAAGAAGAAAGGATTTAGGAATAAAAATTTCTGGCAACAAGTTAGTATTTGAAATAAGGTGTAGCATCTGCTACTTTAAAATTTATTCGTCTTTCGAAATGCCGCAGGCAAATAAATTGTGGATTGAAAGATGTGTGTTTGCACTTTATGAACAGAAATATTCCTATTTCATAATTAAAAAATGTTACCTACATATTATTCTGTCAACCATGAAATTGCTACCAAGCAGTGTGATTTAGTGTCAGTTATGGATAAGCATAACAAATAACACCTTCATGACAACTGCATTTTCACTTCTTGTAACCTCGATTGATTCTCGGTAAGTCGCATTTTATTTTCGGGAACACAAGGATATAAATTGTTGGTTGTGTTTGTTAAGATTGCATATTACTTATTGTGTATAGAAGTAAAATACATTTAATGTAAATCTGTGAGAATGTTCTAGTGAGGATTTTGCTAGTGGCAAGAGTTTCTCTAGTTGAGAGATTAAGAGCATTCTGATAAATTTATATTAAATGTATTTTAGTTCTGTATGCTGTAAGTAATACTCAATCTTAATAAACACTACCAACATTAGTTACCATATCCGTGCAGTGTATCATCATCAGCCCAATCGTGACCAGGAGATGATAGAAATGTACACCTCTTCCACCCACCCACCTGGGGAAAAACTGATGAGCTATGTCACAGGCACCAGTTATGGCGTCTCACTCCGCAAGTGTTCAACTGTCCATGCCGAATGAACAACGCTAAACACAGCCCACCAGTGCAACGATCAACCATATCAACACATGGCCTCAAAAATGGTGTGGGGTCAGCCAATACTCACAAATTCGAAAAAGTTGAATAACTTGAATTCTTAACTGCAGAGCTTTTTTATGATGAGGTAGAGTATTTCACTCTCATGAAATCAATTAAAGTTCTGCCCCAAAGGCCAAGCGACCTTGGGCGTTAACCTAAAAGTGTTAGAAAGTTTCTCTGATGCATACAATTTGTTATTAGTTGACATTGTAAAATTGCTTCAAAAGTTAAAGAGCCATGGCTGTGAAATTCTTTACTGCTGGGTCCCCTGGCATATGGGTATACAAGAAAACAAGCTGGCAGACAGAACAGCAAAGTCTGCATCTGCCTGTCTCCTACAGTGATATCAAGATGGCCATCACACATAGGATTCTGAATATGTGGCAACTCTTCTGGGATGAACTGAGTTTCTGAATAAACTGAGAAACGTAAAAGCCTAAATTTCAGTATGGGGAGAGCACTGGAAACCAGAGTGAGGAAGTCTTCTTAACACGCTTAAAGATTGGTCACTCTCGAGTCACACATAGTTACCTTTTCAAAGCTGAGAGTGAACCTATTTTTTCAAACTGTGATTGTGTTTTGCCTGTGCGTTAAGACAAATGTGATTTTAGTTGAGTGTCTGTTTTTAAGAATCTTAGATTGAAGCAATTTAGCAACCATGATTTGCCTTTTGACCGTATAATTGGGGAAGAGGCAAATGACAGCTTGTTTCAGTACTTGAAAAAGATGGATTTTTATTTAGTTTGATCTTGTATTCATGTTTTATCTTTATTTTAATGATACATATTTTAATATATCTCATGTTTCTGATTTCACTCATGTATCATTATCTCAATTTTCATCATTTGCTCATTTCATATGATCTTATACTTTTTTTTTAAACTTGCATCTATGTGAAAAGTGTTCTTTTATCTAGTTTGTATTGGAATAACTGACATGGTTTCGTCACATGTAATCTTTGAGGTTTTGTGCCAGAAAAATCCACTATTACCATCACCATCAAAAGAAAAATCCAGCAGACATAATATTTTGAGGAGCAGACACTAGTGAACTTTTGGTTAATTCCTTGGTTGTCAGGTCCTGAGTTTCTCAATCAGAAACTTCTACTACCAGAATGCATTCTGTATTCTTCATATGAGCAGTATGAAAAAGAACTAAAACAGTCATCAAATCTAGTTCTGACTTGGATAATGAAGGAACATTTATGGACCCTTTTCTGAAACTTTACAGTAACTTTCATAAAACAACCAGTATCATCAGTTTTATTTTCAGGGTTACCTGAAATTGTAAATCACAAAATAAGATGCTGGGGGTATTTAACTCTAGATGAGATGCAAAAAGATGAATTTCTTATATGATATGCCCAAATAACTGCCTTAATTCAGAAATTACAATTCTAGCTCTTCCACGAGGTAAACTTGTTCCTGCACAAAGTAAATTGAAAGGTCTTACCCTTTTCTAGATGAGATTTCCCTTTTAAGAGTTGGAGGAAAATTAAAAAACTCAAACTTATCCTTTGATTGTAAACACCGGTTAATTTTGCCTCATGGTTTTAGAGTTATTGTATTAATTTTTTTTTAATATTTTCAAAAGAAGCATCTACATATTGAAGCACAAGGTTTACTTCATGAAGCACCACCAGAATGCATTCCTTATTCTTCAGATGATTAGTACGAGAAAGACCTAAAACAATTATCAAATCCATTTCTGACTTTGATAACGAATGAACATTTTGTAGAATCTTTTCTGAAACTTAACATTAACTTTCAGAAAGTAACTATAATTGTTAGGTTATTTTCAAGTTCATCTTAAATTGTAAATCGTGGGATAAGATGCAAGGATATTTAACTGATGCAGGGGTGTTTGTGCTCTGAGGAAACCCCAGAATTCCGGGGATTTTGAACTTCGATACCCGGAAATTCCGGGGATCATCGTTCAAAAGGAAGTAGGAATAATAATGAATTATTTATTTTGATCTGGGTAATTTTGTTTGCTTTGAAAGCAGAAAACGCAAGGTCAGTGTGTGTGGTGAAAACTTTTCCTTTCTTTCTCCAAAGGCAGTGATAATGCGTGAAAAGGGAGGAAAAACTTCTTTTTTGTTCTTTCCTTATTGTGAGTTATGACTCATTCTCCCTGGTTCTCGGACATTCTCTTCTGGATTCTTTTCGGCAAGTAGGCGCGGCAGAAAAAAAAAAGGAGATCGTTCGACCAGATGTGCGATCACGTGACTCTGGGTTCAAAGTTCTTATCTTTCCTGGCATGGCGCCAATAAGTAGAGAAGGGGGATTTTTCGCAGTATTAGCTATTTGTCATTGATCGCTTCTCAACTTTTTTTTTCTCCGCTGTGTAAAATTTTCGTTTCATTTATTGATGCATGTGTAAATTTTTCATTTCATTTATTGAAATATTTTTTTATTTATGTACGCAAGAGAATTTCACTATGAAATTTCTCGATATAAATAGTGATATTATACAATTAGAAGAAGGTGTCCGGAATGCATTTAGGTGGAATTGGATTGAACGGAGAGATGGTAATGGGGATACCATCGGCACATGGTGCAAGAAAATAAATGTTGCTGGACAAGCATATTGTGTTTTTTGTAACTCACTGCTGAAGTATGGTGGGGAAGGATTCAAGGCTTTCACAAATCATTCTAAAACTGTGACGCACATAAAATATTCAAAGTGCATTAGACAATCAATGACTTTAAGTAATTATGCTAATTCAAAAAATACTGATGACTTACTGGAGACTGATGCTTGGCCATTGGATATAGTGACAAGAAAAGCACGCCAAGAGGTATTAATAACTTCGTTTATTGCCAAGAATTCTCTTCTTTCAATGTAGCTCCCAATTTAATTGAACTCTGCAAACAGTTGAGCCGCGATCAGACGGCACTAAACTCGTTGGAAATGTCCAGGACTACTGCATGTTATAAGATGAAATATGGGCTCGCAAAAACTATTAAGGAAAATATCATTAAAACTTTAAAGGAGACTCCATTTTCTCTAAATTTGGATGAAAGTACTAGCAATAGCATACTCAAGAAAGTATACTGGCAATATTGGTGCAGTTTTATGACAACAATCAAAATGAAGTTGTAGTTCATCATTTTGCATTTCTAAAGATGGAATCTTGCAATTCAGAAGCTGTTTTTAAAGCAGTTGTTAATACTATTGAAGATAATAATATTCCATGGGCAAACTTAATTAGTGTATTAATGGACTCATGTAAGCACCATGCGTGGAAAAAAAAAAGGGTGTTGAAACCAGACTACGATCAAATCACAAAGCTCCCCACTTATTAGATATTGATGGTGACACATGTCACACAGCTAATAA